GCAGGAAACTGAAGGTCTCCTCTGTGACCACGTGCCCTTTGTGGACGATTTCCTGGGGGAGGAAAGATGGTGGTCCTGTTGGAACCTACAGCAGTCAGGCCTAGGACCACTGGTGTCTGACTCACTCAGGGTAGGACTAGGTCCAAGTCTCTTGAGGGGCTGGTGCCCTGATATAGCTCTGGGACAAGCTAGGAACCAGATCTTGAGCAGAGTAGCCTATTTCCCTCTCTACCTACCCCAGGTCCCACCCTCCTCCTGGCTCTACTCCTGCCAAATCTGTGTAGCACCTCTGCAAAGAAGACCCTAGTGGCCACTCAGCCCCTGGACTCAAGGTTCTAGCACTGCTTGGAGCTGGCTATAAGTCCTAGCTCCATTACTGGCCAGCTGTGAGCATATGGACAAGCTCCTCAGCCTCTGTGTCCTCTTCTGTGCAGTGCAGTCACCCAGAGAACCTACCTCTCATGATCTCTGGAATAGTTCCATGACAGTGGGTGCTGTACAAGGCACGTCTCGTGGGGCCAGTTACCACCAGTCCCTGTGGCAGGTGTGGCAGGTAGTGCGCAGCCTTCTTGAGATACACCTTCCACCTGTCAGCACCTCAGGGGCTTCTCCTCAAGCCTCTCTTGCTCTGTGGCCCTACTGCTGCTGTTCTCCTGCCTCCCCCCACACCAGGACTGCCTTCTCTGTTGTGTCTCTTCCACCTCAGGAAGGGTCAGTGCTCTCCCTTCCTAGACAACCACAGCTGATTCTCAACTTGTCCCTTTCTCCCTCTGACTCTCCACCTCACTAGTCAAACTGACCTGCCTAGAACTGGTTCTATGGCATAGTGGTTAAGGGAGATGGATCCCACATAGCCAACTACAGTTAAATCTCAGCCCTGGTAGCTTGAAAAACACTCTGGGCATGTGTGCATGTGTGCCCAAAATCCTAATAGGATGGAGAAATAAAGGGATTATGGTATGATCATGCCCCATTGGGGGTGATTTTTCCCTCCCTCTCAATAGCAAGGTCATATGAAAAAAGCAATTAAAAAAAATGATCCACCTACCATACCAATGTGACATGCCTGGACAGGACAGGCCAAAGGCCTACCAACTATACTACCTCTTTTCAGAAGTTTTAGGTACCTGCCTTACACACAGCACCCTTTGGAGAGATCTGTCACCCACAGGGAGGTCTCCAGGCTGAGATCCTATAATCCTACCTCCAGAGCTGGCCAGCTCAAGGCACCAGTCTAGGGACTGTCCAGCCACAGGGCAACTCAGTGGCAAGCACTGGCCCACAGGCTATGCTTCATTGTGCAGAGCCTGGACCAGCCTGTCAGGTCCTGTCTTCCAGGACAGGGCAGGTGAGAAACACCTACAACACATACAGTGAGGAAAAATATTCACCAGTGATGAGAGGAACAGAGACAGAAAAGACACTAAGTCACTATCAGGGCAAAAATAAAAGCAGAGGGCAAGGTGAATCTGCCAGGCCTGAGGCTATCAAGGCCATGCCACTTGGCTTCTCCTGGGTGCCTACAGCCTGCCTGATTGCCAAGGCTCCTCTTAAGCCTTCTTGTAAGAAACTCACTCATATCTACCTTGCTTTCTTGCAGCCTGAGAAAGCAGACCCAACACCCTGCCCATGGTCCTCCCAGTTCAAACCCTTTGTCGTCTCCCTCTTGTGAACTGGGAATGAAAACCATTCTTATAGGGTGCTTGGAAGTAAAAGGGGATACAGGTTGAAGCCTTGTGACAGCCTGACATCCCAGGCCCTGCCAGGCAGGCACTGCTTCAGTGTCCCAGGCCTGCATTCACTTGTGTCCCCTGAACTCTTGTGACCAGCCAGGGCTCTGCAGCTGCCTGAACTCAGCTTTTGATCCCACTGCTCATTCTATGCAGGGGCCCTATCTGTGAGTGCCACCCTTAACACTCAGGCCGACTATGCCTCCTCTGTGAAGTCCTTCCCTCCTCAGTGGTCCCAATAACCCTGAGGCAGAGGGACACAGCACAGTGGCACCTACAACCTATTGTCTAACTGGCAGACGCAGGCCCCTGAGGGTTCATCTGTGAACTTCAACTTCCTGTGAAGGGTGACAGCCTTAGCCTCCTATCTGCCACACAGCACTAGCTCCAAGTAGGGCAACAGGAAGGAAGAGGTCCCCTCACCTTGAACACATCCAGGCACATCCTGAGATCCGCGCACCTGGCAGCCACCTTCAACAGGGCATGGTATGTTTTCAAGTTAAGCTGGAAGTTTTGGGCCTTGAGCTGTTGCCGGAGCCTCAGGGCATTCTGCAGGGCGGAGTCCTTCCAGGGGGACTCGGCACAGACATTGAACAAGGCTGTGTACGTGGCATCTGAGGGCTCCAGGTCCCGCTTCTTCATCTGTTGAAATGGGAGAAACTGAGATGGCTTTGGGACCCACTGGAGACACATGTGAGCAGGCACTCCAGAGGAAGCTGGAGAGGACTGTCACCATACACAAAGGTTCCGGGGCTCAGGCAGAGCCAAGTGACACCTCAAAGCCCAACTCTCCAAGCCAGAGTCTACTAGGGACTCAAAATAGAGCCTGTAGGTTCAGGTGTGTCAAACAAGAAACTATCCTCTCCAAGACATCTGGTCCACCCTGGGCCTGGGGTGTTCATAGCATGGCCCTTCCAACATCCCCACCTCAGGCACAACCAGATCATCCTGGCAGTCAATGGGGATCAGCTCTGGGAGAGGGAAGGTGGTGCTTACTGAGGGGTTGTGGGAAAATGGGGACAATATCATTGCCTTGAAGGGCTGTCGCCAGAGTTGAGAGCATAAGTCAGTGTTCTCAGAGTAGCCCTTAACCGGCAGCAACAGCCAGAAACAATGCTCATTCTCAGGGCCCCTTACCTGCTGAGTCATACACCCTGGAATGAGGCAACATTGCTTCTCAGGTTTCCAAGTGGCCGAGGCAGAACCTTCTGGCAAAGCTAAGCATTCACTATTTCCCAGAGAAAAGCCATCTGACCAAGGGCAGGGGACAAGCTGCTAAGGTGGTAGGGGTATAAAACGCCCTGCTAAGGTCAGGTGTTTTGGATTCAAATCCTAGCTTCAGTGTTCTCAGGTAGCGTAGCCAAGGACATGCCCCTTTAACACTCTGGGCCTGTTTCCTTCTCTGAGAAGTAAAGGTGGTACTCTCTACTTTGAGGGTGACATGTGCTCTGCACATATACACGTATTTGATTGATGTATACTAAGGACATGCTACCTGCTGGGCCCTGACCCCCAGCAATTAGCAGAGCAGACACAGCTGGTCTCAGCTGCACCTATGCTCCAGAAGGAAGACACAAGCAGGTGAGTAAGTGTCACAAACAGCAGAGAGCTGACAACACAGAAAACAGAGGATGGACAGGGGAAAATTAACTCCACAGCTCCTCAGTGAAGAAATCTGGCAAATACCACTGGCATTGCTTGAAAAAGGCTGAGGCCACCAGTGAGAAGTCATGGTGATGCCATGTGCCCCAACATGAGAGGGCACTTCACCTCCAGGACGTTTTCCCCCAAACTCTTAACCCCAGTCTCACCATAGAAGTACACCAGCCTAACAACAACGCTGGTGGGCAGTCTATAGAAGACCTCAACAGCACTCCTCAAAACTGCCAAGAGGGGGGACCAGCACTAATGGCTATGTTGCTGGACTCCCACGTAGTCGACCGTGGTTCGCGTCCCGGACCCGGTGGCTTAAAACTCACGCCAGGCGCGTGTGCGTGCGTGCCCCAGATCCCGAGAGGAGAATGGAGGAGAAGGGACTGCGGTGTGGCCATCCCCCCTGGGGGGGGATTTCTCGCTTTCTGTCTCTGTCTCTGTCTGCCTGACCAGCCCACGGGCCCTATGGCAAAAACCTCATAAAAAAAAAAAAAGAAAAAGAAAAAAGAAAAAACTGCCAAGGAGGGCCAGCAGGTGGTGTGATGGTTGGGGGCACTGGACTCCCACATGGACAACTGCACACAGGTGTTTGGATATGCTCATAAGCGAGGTCAGATGAGCTGAGGGTGGATCATGGTGTGAATACACTTTCGAGGATTTTCTCTCACACACACTCTCTGAAGGAGTTAATTTTTTTAAAAAGGAACAAAAGAAAACCAATAAACAGGGACCAGCAGTTGGCATAATGGCTATGTCGCTGAACTCCTATGTAGTCGACCACAGTTCGAATCCTGGACCCAATGGCTTAAACTCACACCGGGCACATGTGAAAGTTTGCCCAAGATCCAGAGAGGAGAATGGAGAAGGGACTGCGGCATGGCCATCCCCCCAGGGGGTGATTTCTCACTTTCTGTCTCTCTGCCTCTCTCCATCTTTCTGGCGAGTGCATGCACCCTATAGCAAAAACCTCTCCAAAAAAACAGAAAACCAATAAACAAGGAAAGACCCAGACAATAACACAGACTGGAGGATCCACTATAGCAACTCTAACTGGACACAGAAATAGAAAGAGGATGTTAGTGGAAAACCTGATAAAACCCAGAGTTTAGTTAACAGTAATGTGCCACTGCTGGCTTCTTAGTTTTGACAAATGTGCCATCGTAAGGTAAGATGTTACACAGCAAAAACTGAGTGAGAAGTAGTGGGGAATTTTCTATGCTATCTCTGCAACTTTTCTATAAATCTAATAATTATCCCAAAACAAAAAGTTTATTTAAAAAATTAACTCAACCAAAAAAAAAAAAAAACAGGTGACAAAGTGAGAGAACAACAAAGGTTAATTAGTGTGGGCTTCTCTGAGGAGCTGGAATATGGGGGAGCACTAGGGATCCTCTGTTGTAAAGAAGGGCTACTACTGGCCTGTTAACCAGGAGCCACGATGAACAATATCCTTGTCTCCACCTGCCCCTAGTGCAGACCTGAACTCGTCTGCTGGCTAGTTCATCAGGGCAGCCTCTCTTTCTGTGCCATGACATTTTGTTAGGTTTTCTAAAGGATATATGTTACTTTACCATTTGTAATTCCAATATTCCCCATTGCTTGCAGCTAGAGATCATCAGGCTTGGAACCAGGAGTTCCAAATGTCAAGACAACTAGGGTTCCCAGCAGCCTTTGCTGGAGTAAAGGATATCCCCAGTTTCTGGCTGCAGAAGAAAATAGAATCTCTCCTGTTAAGCGCCTATAGTCGGCAGCAGTTGCCACCTGGCAACCTGCCTGCCCAAGAGTCTTTTGGGTGTACTCTTTTCTCCCTTTTTTTTTTACTGTCCATAGTATTTATTTATCAAGAGAAACTATTCTTTAGCCCATGTAGTCATGTTTCATAGTTCAGGAACATGGCACCAATCCAATGACATTCTTTACTTCCAAAATCACTTTGTACTCTGAAAGATACCAGCCTTCCTCATCTCTTCAAAAGTTTTCATGGAATCATAATTTCTGTAGAAATCTGTATGTGCCTTCTTTCTTGGTTCAGCCACAGCAAACTTACAGAAAGCTGCAACACTCAGGGATACAATGAATGCTCCAACAATATGAAATCGCAGATGCTTGGCCAGAAGGCCACGCGGCTGAGGTTTCGCCAGAGCACTGGAAGCCATGGCAGTCCTTCCCGGCTCAACAGCAGCGTCCTTCCCGGCTGAAGAAGAAATGGACGGCACTCGCGCCGGTGTACTTCTTTTCTGAAATCTTTCTTTCCTATTAAATAGTCCTTTCTACTTAAAAAAAAAGAGCCTACAGTCTTCTGGGCAAGGCTCTTTCCTGACTCGTGAAGGAGAGAGCTTCCAGCTCTAAGAACAACAAATATGACACACCCAAGACATGCGTGACTGTTTAAACAACTTCCCAGGAGAAATAAAAGCTTTTTCATCAAAGGGCCAACTACAGTAGAACGGTGCATGTGTGTGCCCATGTGGTGGCTGAAAAGGAACCTGAAAAAGCTAGATGTGGCGGCAGAAAAGGGGTCACGGAGCTTACCATGGTCCAGGCAGATGTTGAAGGACTTTCTGTGCAAAATCATTTAATTACCCCAAACCACCTCCATTTTAACAGATGAATCTGAGCCCAGAATGGCTAATCATCTGCTCAGGGAACACACAGTGAGCGTTCAGGATCTGCAAGCTGTTCTTTAGTCCCAAAGCCACACCCCTCAAAGCCTCACCCCTGCCACCCAGGGCCCCACACTCACATCGTTGTAGAGCTTGAAGGCCTTCTTCAGGTAGCCGGCCCGCCCACAGCCCCCGATCAGCACCGTGTAGTTGCTCTCCAGGGGCTGGAGCCGCTCCTCCTTCAGCATCTGCCGTTCAAACAGGTCCAAGGCCTCAGCCAGCTGAGGGAGAGGGGGTGATAAAGGAGGGTGCTCAGGACAGCCTCAGAG